TCTTAAATGTTGTATGTATTGATGCTTTCACTTGTAATCAATACCATCAGTTATAGATTGTTGGACCCCTATTTCTTTCTGTGTACTTGCCCACATCCCCACCTCCTCCTAGCGGAGTATCTTTTGTGTGGGCAAGTCAAGTGCCGAATGCCCAAATGCTCTTCAACTCATTGTTAACCCATAGACGGGTCGCGTAATGATCCAAAACCGTCAGTCGCCAAAGCTTCTTTCTCACGTTTAGCGCCTGGGCCTAGGCAATGGCCAAAAGCGACTTGAGGCCTGGCTAACAAGTGCCGGCCATTCCGCACACACACACACACACCAACTCGCTCAGGAGAAAAAACGAGCTGTAAAACGTCAAAATATACGAGCACAGAGCGATTTAAACTGTCAACGCTGCCGTAAACATTGTCAGTGGCAAGTCGGTCTTTTGGGGCGGGGAAAAGGGGCCTCTGGCCAAAACTGGAACCATGGAGAGCTCGGCTACTTGTTGCCTCAAATTTGCTTATGAGCAGGCCAAAACAGCCGTCCAGGCGAACTGCACTCCACTCCACTCCGAAGTCTGTGGCCTGGTCTAATGTGGCTCGTAAATCCTGGCCAAAACGGCCGAACGGACAGTGGTTGCTAGCCTCGTTTTTGGCCCGACCTGATGGATGTTGTGATGCGGCTGGGGCGGCACTTGGCCAGATTTACGCCCCGCAATTAACGTTCTAATCGCCTCAATTTGTTTGGTGTGCCGGGGAACGGGGAGGGGGCCGCAAAGCAGGTAGATAATCAGCCCCAACAACCTACAAGTCAATTGAAAGTGTCAACCTGCTGATACTGCTGGTGACGATGGGGAAATCCAACAATTAATTCGAGTTTGTGCATAAAATTAGTAGAGTAATCTCTTTGATTCCGACCGAAATTTGGCATTGTCGTTAAGTGTTTTATTGCTTGATAACAAGAGTTAAATGTATTCACATATAAGAGCAGAAAATAGTTCTGAATAAAAGCAGTCGAGGTTTTTTTAGTGAAACAGACGAAGTAGTAGTTTCAGTAGTTTTAGTTGGTACGACAGTCCAAAGAAAAAAAATTTATATTAATTTACTGCGATAAATAGTTTAATCTTTAGACACCGTAGATATAAGATGATCATTGTTTTGAGTACAACAACAAAATGTCTGATAAGAAAAATTGATAAAACAAATTATCTTATTAAATTAAATACCTACATTTTTAATTGTAATTGTACACAATGAATGATTATGAATTAAAGTTCATTTTTTCCATTCAACTATGTTATAGAAGGTTATAAAATTAAAAGACAGGGATAATAAACCTCCAACAAAATTCTTCTTAAATATCAAAGTGGCGCCTCAGTCGCAAAAGAGTGTTCGGGTTTTGAACTATACTTCGCTTCTACATTTACTTTACTTTTCCACTGTAAAATATTCCTTTCTCAGTGGCGCCATGTTAATAAAGCGGAAAAGCTTGTAATATCCTATTTAGGTGGCGCCAGTGACACATAAAAAACCATTGGGTCCACAGAAATAACAAATTATTCTTAAATATGTATAGATAAGAAATAAAATAATCTGTTCTGTTCACATTTTCATTTGTAAATTCTCAAAGTTTTAGCTTTTTAACACTTATTTTTTTAAAGTACATAAAGCTCAAGTGGATGGATATAACCGAAAGGATGAAGTCATCACATCATCATATGTGAGATGTACAAAAAGATATTGCTTTCGCTGATTCTGTTTAAAAGGCTCTTATTGTTACTTGACAATTTTACTGAGAACGCTTAAGACATATTGAAATATTAAAAAAAATGTACAGACTACTATGATATGAAAAATATGAGTGAAAATATATAAGCTTTTCATTTTTTGACAGTACATTTTAAATGAATGTTACACTATTTTAAATTGGCAGCAAGCTATACTTCATTCTTCAACCATAACCAAAGTAAAACCCAAAGTAATCCCTTTCAAACAAACTCTTTAACACCCAATTTCGGTAACAGAGCATTAACAGTGCTGGCCAACTGTCCATTAATTTCCCGACTGGCCCTTTGTGAACTCATTGCAGTTAAACAAATAAAAATAAACTAAGCGTAAATACTTAAGAAGAGAATAAATGCCACGAGAAGAGTTTGTCCTTTGTCCGGCGCCCACTAAACCAGCCCCTCGCCAAAGGACAATTGACCTTTTGCCGGTTTCGGTTCTGGCGGGTTTTCCCTATTTTGGCCTACTTGATGCGTCTGCGTGCGTGTGTGTGTGTGTGGGTGGTGGGGTGGTTGTGCTAAACTTTAAATTGTCCAATGCTACGTGCCCCGCATGCGGAGTTCATAAATCCAAGCGCTAAATGTAAACATCAACAGTTGCCCTGCTCCGTGGGCAGTAGCAATACTAGCAACACCAATAACAACAGCAACAGCGTGGGGCAACAACAACAATGATGGCAAAAACTTGCAAAGTTCAAACACAAACTAATGCAGCAGCAAAAGCAGGAACAAAAGCCATGCGAGCCACACCCATCTACCGCCCACACTCACTGCCACCCACTCCTTTTGGCCACTTTCACCGTTGTTCTTGTTGCCATTCTCGCACGGGTTGTTGTTGTTGCTGGTGTCCTTAATGCGCGATGGGCAAATGTGTGTGCATGCACAAAGAAAAAAAAAAGCAAAGTCGACAATAAAATAAGATTTTAAGCTTTGCACTTTATACCTCAAAATTATGCAAAATTCTTGAAAAATTCCTATTATCTACAATTTATTAATCGCAACCTAAAAATTTTTGTTAAAATTAAAATATTTCAACACTCTAATCTTTTGTTTGTATTTGTATCACTTACAATTAAAAATAACTGGGAACATAATTTGATTTTGTTTTAATAATTTATCAATATATCTTACCCTATTCCTAACAGATAAGATTATTTTAAAACCATTTGGCAACTGTATTCTTATTTTCGGCGAGTGCATGTGTGGGTATAGGTGTTAGCCGGTTGGCTCTTGGCATGGCCAGAAGGAGAATACTCCTCTGGCAGGTCCGGCCAGGGAAGGCAAGTAAAATAAAATAAACTTGAGTTTTGTTTTCGTTTGTCGTATAAGCAATGGCTTAAAGCTTTGCTCCCACTTCCACCCTTCATCCTTAACCCAAACGCATGCGGCCAGTGGTAATGACCTCCCCACACACACTCACACACACAGGGCTTGTTGCACTTGCCAAGGGTTAAGTTCCGATAATTATGGATGCAAAAGTGGAGCACAAAAACGAAACTGGAAGTGTACAACAATCCACACGGCAGTGAATGTGTGGCGTGCTACACTTAAAGTTGTTTACATTTTTTGCTGCATTTACATATTCCTATTGAAGTTAAGTAGCTTTAGAAAACAATATTCTACCAAAACTATGGTTTTTATTATTTTTATATAACCGGATTTGAAAGATTTAAGTAAAATGTTTGAATTATGAGTCTAGTATAGGTATATTTCAATCAGTAAATAAAGGCTCATCTTTTTTTAATGGCTAAATCTTTTATTTAGAAAATTAGTTTGTTTGTGTAATTTGTTTGTATAATGAAGTCATAAAGTCAAGTATATACGTACGTGTTTTGGACACCTGACTTTCTAGGGCTATTAACCATTTGTATTTATTATTTAAAACGTACTAATAAGCACTATCTAATCTGAGGTGTGAAAGGGTTAGATGGGTCCCAGTTCTTAAGTGGCCGATTCAATGAATTTTGACTGCATATATAGATAGACCGTCTGGTACAATTAACTCTTTGAGTGTTTTGAATCAAGTTGAACAACTTCCTTTGTCTGAACAAATAGTATTAATATTGATTAATTAGGTGAGTGCTAAATATTCTGGTTATATGCGCATTAGCAAAAAAAATTATAATACATTTAGAGTTCACACAATGCTTACAAAACAATTGCAATGGAAATTTTTACATTTAGTGTAAACTCATTGTTCGGATATTTTCAATAAAGATATATTAAATTTAAGTTGGTAGTGCCCAAGTTTAATGATCCACATATATGTATATTATCATTTATTATTATTTTTCATTGCAATCATTATTACTAAGTTCATACTCATGGTTGTTTTTATTGTTTTATCAAAACAATATGAATTGCTTTAGAGGCTTCTAAAAATTCCATTCAACTTTGTCAGATTCATTTAGTCTGTTTTCTTTCTCCCAATTTCACTTCTAATTGACTGCCGACCCACAGACATTTCAAATTCCTTTGTCTTCGATTGCAATGGAATAATCAAACTAACAGGTGTCCAATCCCCGTGATAGTGTCTTCATTGTGCCCAACTATTTATGGTTGTGTCTGGGATTTGTTCGGAACTCCATTTGGAATTCCCCGAGGGCAAACAATCCAAGGACGATGGTGAAAGGAAATCTCCGCCTAATTTAGACTGTGTTTACAGTAAATATGCAAACAGACCGCTAAATTGGCATATAGCAAACAAAAATCGAAGCATTGAAGCGGCGTGGAGGTGGGCAGGAAAAACAAAGGCAAGGACACACGTGTAAATCGAGTACTCTTGAACCTGAAGTTGATTGTTGTTGCTGTTACTTCTATTGGCACTTGGCAAACATAAATAATCAAATATTTCACAAAACGACAAAAATGATTGGCAAAGTGGGATGGATAAACGCCCCTTCCTCGGACAAATAGATTATCTTATCACCGAGGCCCATTTCCTCCTTATTAAATTAATTGAAAGGCAAATAGGCAATGAAGCGCCCATGTCTTGGGATTAGGCTATCATCGGCTATCGGCCGCCTTCGAATGCCAACCGCTTATCATTTGCACTCGTTCAGCGAGAAATACCTGTTGTTGCAGTTGCTGCCGTGCGTCGCATGTTGCAGCCCGCCGGCAACATGTTGCTCGCGTGCGTCCTCGGCTTTTTGGCTTTGCCTGCTCGGCTCCAATGCTCGGCTGCCATTCGCTGGCCGTTCGACTGGCGCCGCTTCTTCTGCCGTTCAGTGTCAGTACGCTTCTGTCACTCGTCCGGCCAACAACACGGCGCGCTTGCTCCGCTCAGGTCCGCTCCGATCCGCTTCGCATCGATCCGCCTCGATCCATACCGCTCGTCGACGTCAGTCGCCCACTGCAGTTGTCGTTCGAAAGTGTCTCGCTCGGCGGCTCCAGCGGCGATCCGATCCAAGTAATCAACCAAATTAAGACCAAAAGCAGTTCAAAAAAATGTATAAATAAACAAAAGAGAAAACCGGCTCTTGAATTTGCACAGGGCGACGAGCTTGCATGCAAGATCGCCATCGAGAGGCTCGTCCGACAGCATTCTTGCATCACGTGCAGGCCGAGCCACGCCCCTGCACCGCCCCCCCTGCCACTTTCAAGGCGAAATTTGCTCTGAGAAAAAAAATTGAGATTTTTCTGCGATCAATGCCTTTTTCATTTCATAGCTACGGTCCCGTAAATTTTTATTTATGCAAGCTTTGCCGGATTGCAGAGTATATCAATTCTTTCCACTAGAAAATAAATATATAGGAAATCTTAGAATGTCATACACTTATATAGTTTTTCTAAATGAATCAGATAGACCGGTTTTAAGTCAGAGTCATTTTGTTTAATTATATGTTTTGATGTTATTTTCTTAATGATTGGATTATTAAAAAAAAAGAAACAAATTATAACAACTTAGAAAATAAAAGGGAATAACTATCTCTTTTTCGTCCTAATCAAAGTCCAAATGTTTTTAATTTTTCTCTCTGTTTTTAATTAAAATCACTTTTAAAAATTGCAAATTTACAGTTCATTGTGCAGGCTGTTTCATTCCACCTCCTCCGTTAAGTGTTTTGTTTTCGTTACTCAATTGAGCCCCAGAACCTTTGAAAACAGCTGGGTAAAGACAGGCGTAAATTGGCGGCGATTTCAATAAGAGGAGGTGCGAAAGGCTCAAGTGTTTTTTCCACTATGTTGCGATTGCAACTTCCTAATTAAAAGTGCAAAACTATGCACATGTAAATTTTTGAAAGCAATGGCCTGTGCAGTTTCCTTTATGTAAACCAAAATAACACCTTAGTAAAAGTAGTTGCGAAAACCATCCGATGTGTTTACCTATTTTTGAAAGCAATGCCCCTTTGCAGTTTTCTTTAAGTAAATCAAAATAATACCTTAGTAAAAGTAGTTGCAAAAACCATCCGATGTGTTTACTTATTATATTGCTTTTATCTCTTACTTAACCCTGACCTGTACCAATTCCATACGGCTCTCATATTTTTCTTCAATCATTTGAACGTCAACAAACGTCGAGAAATCGTTGAGAGGCTTTTAAAAAGTGTTTGTTGTCTGTTTATTTGCGTATCGTTTGTTTATGAGCATTAAATGCATCTGTCCGAGAACTTTGAATGCTCAATATTTATTTGTATTTACATATTGCAATTAAAACATAAACGGCCACAAAACATAATCAAAAGTATAAACAATTTACCTCGTCAAATGTATGAAAATCAACAGCAATTTGCACAATTTTTTCTTTTCATTTGCTTTTGTGCAAATAAAAGGAGAAAGGGAGAAGAGATGCATTTCGACCATGCCAATAATGAAAGTACAAATGCATTTTATTCAATATAGGAATTTGCAATTTAGACCTACTTCAATTATGATAAGTATTCGCTTGCCGCTCATTATATCGAGAGATGTTATTAATATTGTTTATAAATACCTATAAATAATATTTTAAGCTTTTTTAAAAAACTAAAAATTAAAAAATATTACCCCTTTAGTTATTATCATTAGTATTGATCTATCTTTTAAACAGTTTGAAAAACCATTGACCAAGTTAAAAATAACTAAAGTGAGTTTGTCCCACTATTTTGGTTTGAACAGCTCATGTGGGTTGTGTTCCCAAAGTATACTTTGACCTGTCCACGCCACATTTGCAACGATAATTGGCAAAGAGAAAAATAAAAATAAAAGCACCCACAGCAAGAAAAATATTAGAAGGAACCCCAAGTCAAACAGAAAGAGTCCAAAACACAAAATGAAAACAAGAGCGCCTCTGACGCGGTGCTTTCGCTTTTCTATTCATCGCAGACATCTGAGTATTTTTAAATAGATTTTTGTATCGCTTCATTCTGCAGCTTTTATTTGTCAGCGTAAATTCTCTTTTACTGCGACTTGATCAAGCCGTAAATAAGTTAACACACAAGTGGGCTGACATTGTGTCAAACTATTAAAACTGCTGAAACCTATAATCTGCCATTAACATATGCATTTTATAGTTGTCATGATTTTATATTTTTTCCATTGATTCATTATTCAGCCAAACGAGTTACAAGCACTTAGCTGCACTTGCGAAAACAATTACATTGTGCAAATCAACAGAAAGAGACGGAACGTGAGAAAATGCACAATTTGTGGAATCGAAACTGGAGCTGGACTCTGCTGATTTTCCCGGGTGAGTATATAGAAATGTGAACGGATTTGGGGTTATCTTCTATATAAAATCTGACACGATCTGTCCGAGTTACCGTTTAGACAGCAGGAGAAAAAGTTGTTCAAAAAATTTATGAAATGCCAATTTCACTTACGTTTAACTTTATTACCCCCGACGCACATTTGCAACTTTGTTGCAACTGACTGGCTCTGGCTGGTGCTCCTGCTTTTGGCCAAGAGTCTCAGATTGCCTTTTAGCTTTCAGCTTGAGCACTATTTCAATGTTTCTGTTTGTTTGTTTATTTGTCTCTCACCCACTACTACCCGTTCTGGGCTCTCGGGTTTCCAGTCCTGCTCCTTCTCTCGGTGGCAAGTTCGGAGGAATGCGGTCAGGAGGAGTTCTCACAGTGCGCCGAACCACTTGATATGCTGCAGTTAACGTCGAACTTCTCGATTGGCCCGGCCAAGAAGGAGGAACTGGAAGAACTTTGTCAGTAAGTGGCTCCATGGAAAAATTCCCCCGTCGATCTGGACGCTCTGCATCCAACTCCCAAACGCAATCTGTTGAGCACGGAAAATAAGTGCTCCATTGTGATGATCGATTTTGGAATTGTTGTATCTATATTGCCCAAAGAAATTAAAACAATATTGAAATGGTTAAATTTCCTTTTAAGCTAATCCGAAATTAAATGTTCAAATTATTTGTTTTAGATATTGACTGCTAACAGTTTTATTTTTTTGTAAATTTGAATATAATTAAAATTTTATAACTAATCGTTTACCCTTAATATACATAAAAACAGTGCATAAAATATAAAATATCAATTTAAGCCATTCAACTTTTTAAAAAAATATTGTTGGTCAGAAAAAGATACGACAATTTCCAGTTTACAAGCATTACTTGATGAAGAGTAAAAAATAATTTTTTTCTGTCCCCAGTGAGCTGCGCAAGGGAGTGAGGTGCATCCAGAGTTACACCCGCCGTTGCATGGATCTGCAGCAGAGGAGTCAGTTCAACAAGCTCTATCATGGAACCAACCAGTACATCAGGGATCTGTGCAACAAGGGCAAGTTCCAGGACGAGTACCTCAAGCACGTCCGCTGCTCCGCGAAGGCCAAAGAGGAGTTCGAGGTGTGCTCCAATCGGTATAAGGAGACCATGGTGTTCCTGAAGCCGAACAAAAACCAGGAGAACTCGGGAAATGGGACCCTCAACGAGAATATTAAAACCATTTGCTGGTAAGTAAAAATACCGGATCACCTTAATTAAAAAATATTTTTTTACCTAAAAGTGTTCGACTACCATTTATAAAATGAATAAACATTTTTTTCAAAGCAAATTCTTTTATAGTACTTACAGTTATTTTATATCATTAAAATTCTTGATTCTTGTAAGCTTATATAAAATATTATTATTTTAAAATTTTGAAGATCAGTTAGTTTGTATAGTTTATGATAAAAACCTTAATTATTCTTTAAACGAAAGGCCTCGATCTTATTAATATTTTGTTTTCCCTTTAATTCCTTATTACAAAAACAAAAAGTAATTTAATATTAATAAAATGTTGCATATTAGTAAAATGATAAATATTAAAAATGATGTTAATAAAGGGAAAACCAAAAATATTTCCTTTAAAAAATAATATTACATCTTTAAAGGAAATCAGTTTTGTTTTCCCGCTATTAAAATCCATACAAATTGTCAAATAGTATTTTATTTAAATTATAATGTTTCATTACTTCACTTGTAAAATTCTTATTTCAGCTCTATCAATAAACTTGTGGATTGCTCTGAAAGTGCTGCCCGAAAGATCTGCGGCGACGAAGCGGGCCAGTTCACACGTGAACTGGTGGACAAATATGCCAACAGCCTGACAAAAGTAAGCTCAAGGAATCACTCTAAGTGAGAAGTTTTGATTAATTTATTTTGCAGATCTACTGCGAGGACTTCAACCGAAATAAAACCCTGTGCCGGAATGGCGATGAGAACGGCTCCAGTCGAATGGGTCCGAATCTGAGCAGCTTAAGCCTTCTTTTTACAGGGACACTACTTACACTGCTGGTCAGCAGAGTAAACAGATAGATGGAAGAACCGCAGCTAAGTGCAAATATATAGAACCAGTCTTACCAAAACGGAATTATGCTCCGCAAAAGAGGAGAGAAGAAGGAAAAATAGTTAAGGTTTCCCCCATCACACCGAAAGAATTCCACACGCTGTTGCATACTTTTGGCTGTCAGTTTAGGTCACAAAAATCCATAGAAGAGCCCCTGAGAAATCGAAAGGAGTAAGCTATAAAGTAAAGTACTTGTTAAGCATGTTATGTATACCAGTATGCATATAAATAGAGGATCGGAGAGCGGTGTCAAGCATAGCTAAGATCGTATATATACGGATATGTATGTTACTATATAAAGGATATAGGCTAGCTAGTTAGAATCAGTGTTGAGTGTGGCAGGCAGGTTAGTTGATGTTGGCCTTACTTTCCAATCGTCGTCGATCGTGCAATACTAGAGTTTCGTTGAGTTTGTTGAAGTTGTCCAGGCTTTAAGTGTAGACATATTTTAGATAATACCCTTAAGTTTCACAAATCGTTGTTAGCTGAAGTTAGAGCGCGCCCCTACCCACCTTTGGTTAATTTGCAACACCAAAAATGTACTGCGCTGGATGTGTGTGTGTGTCCCCAAAGGATTTTGAAGTGCTGAATCCGAATGTGGCCAAAATGGACTATCACCATCTATTAGGAACACATACCCGCATCATAGTATATTTGCATACGTCAATTTCTGTTACCCAGTGCAATCGAAAAACGCACATACACCTCTAAGCGCACAAGAAAAAATCCCCCGGGGATTTGCTCACATATCGGCAATAACTTTACATAAACTAAAAGTGCATTTCTGTGAATCAGGATTTTATAAATTATTTATAAACTTATTTAGTGGATAGCGTATATTTATTTCAAACACTGTAAATACCTTTAAAAAAAATATTCAAATTGGGAAATATGCATAAAAAATATTAGTTTAACTTAAAAACACACACACACACCTACTTACAAAAACTGTGAATATATATTATGATTAAAGAGTAACATTTATTTTAAGTAAAACACACACATGCATATGCAAGGAAAAACAATAAAAAACGAGAAAATAAATTAACGCAAAAAAGTGTGAGAAGAGCGGCGAAATAAAAGGGGAAACGAAAAAGAAGGGGAGGAATGGAATTCAAAACGAAGCTGGTAATATTCTACAAGTCGCTCAAAAATACAAATTTATCTGTACTGTTAATAGCAGCTAATGGGTAAAGTCGGATTTTAAAATCACTTTTTCGGGTCCTTTAAAAGCAGAATTGATGACAATATATGAAGTTTGTAATATTTCAATGTGGCCGAAAATTAAAAGTTTCGGCTTTGTTGTCCGATTGACTAATCAATGTTTAATCCCTCGAATTGAACTATTTGGACCAGATTAAATAGTTATTGCAATTGATTTAGCTAAAATAATTGAAAATTGTTTATTTTTACTTATATAGGTATTAACGTGGAATTATTAGTACAACTAAATTTAAAAGGGGCAGACTTTAGATAATCTGTATCTATACCATTCTTAAATCTTTGTCTACTTATAACCAAAGTTGATACATACCACATTTGGTAAGAGTATAAAAAGCGAACGAGTGCCGCCGTGCCAAAAATGCTTTTTACTGCAGGATAAAACCGAGCGCAGCCAGAAAGTATGCAACGCGCCCCGTCCGGCGCCCAAAAGTATGCTGCGCAAATATGCCAACTCTGGCCGGCGTTTACCAGAAGCGTTACGAGAAGGGGTTACGGAAGGGGTTACCGAAGGGGTGACGGAATGGGTTACCGAAGGGGTTACGCGAAGGGTTCGCCACCATGGGAAGGCGGCGACCTGCTTCTGGGGCTGGCCATAATTTATGTTTATGTGGTGCGTTCATTAGACTAGCGGCAACGACGTCGCCGACAACGGTTGACTTCTCGCCTGGCAGCTAATTTATAAGGTCGGATTCATGGCTCAAGGACATATGTGGGGCCAAAGGGGGCGAACGGAGCGCCGGTCGGGTGCAATAATTACAGTTATCGCACTTGGCCAGCGGCCGAGTTTGCGTTTGACACTCGCAATCATGGTCGGACATTGATTTCGTCGGGATTTGGCAATGAATTGTGAGTGGTTATTTGGTTAAACCTGTCTAAACTGCCAGGCACTATCTAACACAGTCATCATAGGCAGATAAAATACCTGATTTAGTATAACCAGTTTGTGGGTTAGGTATCTTATGTTGCAGTCAAAATTAAAGTTCATTTTTAATCTACTCTACCTTAGTGCTTTGTTATTATTTTAGGTACGATTAGTTTATCTTTCGATTGCTCAATTTGCCTTTCTACTACAAATTTCATTGCATAAATATCGATACCGAAAATTGAGCTTACGTACTCTACAATTTTTCAAATGTAATTTCGGAATGGATTATTTGCTTGCCAACTTAAAAATCCCTCCCTTTGATGTCTCCCAATCGTTTTCTTTTTCAATAAAAATGCATTGACATCTCTTGCAATCACATCTCGGAATTGCATTTTATAAGAGGCCATGTGAGGCATATTTGGTCTCAGGACCAGGACCGAATGCTTAACCAATCAATAACCGAGTTAAGAGGGGAAGTGACTGGAAGTGAGCTGGGGCCCAGGTATCTCGATTGCAGCTCAAATATTTACGTTTCCATTTCGAGTGGGCAGGGATCGGAGGCTCACAGCTCCCGTGGGTCATTTTCAGCTTCATTTGTTGTGCAAATAGGCGAAATGCATTGCCATTGAGCACCGCACTTCGCATTAATTTGAAGTCATATTTTGTATCTTGAGCGTTTTCGTTGCTGCGGTAAATGCCGTTTGGCCATTTGATTGCATTCGTACCATTTTTTTTAGTTCTTAATTAATTGAAAATATCTTTGGGTAGCTGTCGAAGTGGCAGGATGGCAAACAAATTGACAGCCAGTTGCAGCTCGCATTCATACGGGAAGTGTCGAGTGGCCCTTTCATTCTGCACTCCTTCTGCTCCTGCCCCAACTCCTTTATCCAGCTTTCATTTATTTCCCACCCACATAGTCCTGCGCCCTTGCTGAATCCCGGCAGCTCTTTCACTCATGTTTAATCCTCTTTAAGCGGCAACAGAACGATTATATTTTGATTTTGTTTTCTGCTTTTGTTGCATCCCTTTGGTCGCCGCTCGCTTTTGTTTTTATTTGCACATTTCCGCTGCGACTAATCTGCAATTATGTTTTACATAGAAATCCTATCGCATCCCAAACAACAACGTAGTGCGAATGAAAAGTTTTCAACAGTTGTGTCCAGGCTTGATGGTTTGTCCTGCTGAGATAGTTGCGAAATACAAATATTAAACAACAGCAACACCAGCGACATCCAGAGACAACGGAGCGAATTAACGGCGGAAGCTTTGCCCGGGCCAACGCTGCGTATGCGTATTAAATTTCCTATTTACATCAAATCAAAGCGAAAGGAAATCACAAAGCGCTGGAGATAATTTAATACTAAAAAATAACTGAAAAAGGAAAATAATAATAGCATATGGATGGTTAATAAATCAGTAATGTCATGTCTCTATAAAAAATGCAGTACCTTTTTTTATTAACTGAAAGCTACTTTTACAGCGCGGTGGAATTTACTTTGTTTATATGTCGATTTTCTGACTATAAAGAAATATTCTTATTTTAAAGATGCATAAAAAAATATAAAAATATTTTTGAAATATATTAATAGAAGCAATGAATTAACTATATGAAGTCCATGTTAAATTCAAAGATACCTGACAACTATTTATTCAAACAACAGTAAAAAAAGTTATTATTATTAAATAACACATAACAATCAGAATACCTAAAAAAAAAACATAATGCGTCTGCAAAAGCATCATTAAAATGCACAAACACAACATTTTTTTTGTGTTTAATAATTCGTAAATTAATGCATCACAGTTTCATTGACAAAATTAATAAAATCAGTTTAATTAAAACGAATCAAAACTCAAGCCAAAACTTTTCGTATCACATGTTTATTACACCCGATTGAGCAACAAACAACAATCATAATAAACAATTAACAGAGCTGGCATCAAACTCAAGTTGAGCGCATTAGCTTTTGAACTTGCAGCTAAGACTACTACTGCTGTTTTGTCCAGAATGCTAAGCTACTAAGAATATTTAATAGCTGCAGACATGCTCAAGAGCTCGGGCTGGAAATCCGAAGCCCCTCTTTGAGTATTCGATGCATTAGGAAGCATTTACGTTTTGTTGCTCCCACATCATATTCACTTTGAGTTATTTTCTTTTCTATTTCAATTGCAAGTCACTTGGAGAGATTAAATGGGCAACTTGCCCCTGCAACTCCCAGAACCCCAAGTCCCCTGAATCCCCGAAACCCTTTCGGGCAGGACATCCTGATGGCCATAAATGCGCTTGTGGTTGATAGGTGGTTGCCCAGGAGTTGCTGCTGCAGGTGGGTGAGTGGGTGGGTAAGTGGGTGGGAATGTGGGTGTGTGTGGATGGGTGAGTGGGTGTGAGGTTAAAGGATGGTGGTGGCCAGCTTTGTCAGCTGTTGGCCAGCTGGCTCGGGTCTCGAATGCATTTCGGTCATGATAATCATGTTGGTTTGCTGCAAGTTGCAACTTGCATCTGCAGCATGCGTTGCATTTGCAATTCCTGGCTATACGGCCATGGCCAATGGCCAATGGCCGATGGTCGATGGGCCTGTCTAGCTAAGCCTGCTGTGGCTTGTCGTGGTGTGGTTTATGGCAGCATCTTGTCCAATTTATTACCACTTTCATTTGGTAGCATAATAGGCAATGCACTCGCACGCACACACAAATACACACCGAGAAGAACCAATGAACTTCAAATTAAATTAAGGTATCCCAAACTATATGGTGAATTGTAAACAAATACATCATATAATTGCTATCTGGTTTTATAAAAAGTTATTTTCCAAACTCAAATTAGTTATTCCTTAAAAAAAAAACTCTAAGAATTCGTTTTACAATGACCTGATTCACAAATGGAAAAATAATTAAGGCAATCAAAACTTATTAAACAAGTTTCAAGACACTTAGATTTGATTTTTTAAGTCTAAATTATTTAAATCATGTTTTTTTTTTCAATTGTGTACTAAAATATTTTTCTCAGTGTGTATGGCGCACTTGCGGCGAATGTTGCCAGCCTGCCAGCATACACATAACACATATCTATAACACGTAGCACTCAAAAATACTCAAACATTGAAATTGGAGTTCTAGTTTTTGGTTCTCGTCTCGTTTCTGCTTCATCAGTTACATGCTTTGAATAATTCAAGCGTATTTTAGGCCATAGCAGGCAAAATGTTTTCCGCCTTGTCAACCCCTTTTTATCCAGCCTGCAATGAACAGACGGATTTTGTCTGCCTGAAAGTTATTAAATTATTTTAAAATCACCCCTTCTATTGCACTTCGAAGCCACAAAGGCAGTCTTTTTTGTTTTTGTGAAACATTACCACTTTATAAAAATTGTTGAAAAACTGCAATTAAGGCATTTTAAGGCGAACTGGATTAGCATAATTCAGCGGCTCTATGTTTTCCAGCCTCTTTGCTGCTCCTCTGCCACATAACGTATACGCTTCCTCTGTCACATTACGTATACGCAATGCTTGACGCCAGCCATTTGTGCTGCATATCCCCAGGCGCCACTGGCGAAAAATAAAAGACGAGGCACAGATTTCTCTCACTCTGCGGCGGCTGCTAAAAAACAAAACTCAAGTGTTGAACGCAACCACACCCCCCACCGCTGCCCCCTTTATGTCTTTTGTGGCCTTTCGCTGTTTGTCAACAGCAGCGGCAGCCAACACTTGAGGGGGCGTGTCAGGCGTGTAGGCGCTTTTTAATTGCACTGAAAACAAAACGCTAAACACTTGTTGGCTGCCTGGATGGCTGGCTGCCTTCCAGCTAGTTGTCGCGTGGCAAATGGCGGGGTGTCATCAAAACTCTCCAAACAGAAAAGCCCTGCCGCCGCCTCCAGCAGCAATTTGTGTTGCAGTTGCTGATGTTGCCGCTGTCGCTGCCGATGTTGCTGCTGCTGCTACTGCTGCTGCAGTTGCTTTGATTGTGGGCCATAACTGCGA